GGCGGGCGGCGGCGGCTTAGATGAAAAAACGGAATCTCAAAACACATTTTTGGTGTTTTGATAAAAATATTTAATTTTTAGATTTTGTAAATGGACAAGTTAAAAAAACGCCCCGGTTGTCAAACGCGTTTCTTTGTTTTTGTTAAAAAAAAAAACAGAAACGCTAAAAACATCAAGGTTGCCAAACGCTCTCTTTTAAATTATTTAAAATTGGCATTAATGTCTTTTATCATGCTAATCCATTTAAATGACTCCATATTTCACTCATATCTTAATTGATATTAAGTGCATGCGGGAACATTAGGTTGTAAATTCTTATGGTTGCTTGATGGAGGAATATAGTTGCTTGCTAATTTTAAACAACATGGGTATATAAATGTTGTTAAAATATTGGGCGATAGGTTAGATGCAGTCGCAGCCTCATATTGTTCTAATTATATCTAAATTTCAAAATAGATTTTTTTTTTTTTTTTGGGACATTGCAACTCCGAAGAAGATAAAAAAAATAAAGGAGCTCATGCTGCTCAAATTTGAAGAGTTTTAGGAGTTGGAACTACGTGGTGTTTATAAATGCACTTGTCTCATCTTCTTCCGGCTGGAGACATTTATATGTAGAGTAAAATATAAGTTAACGAAGTAGTGTGGAGGATCCGTGGCGCAATGGTAGCGCGTCTGACTCCAGATCAGAAGGTTGCGTGTTCGATTCACGTCGGGTTCAATCCCCAATAATATCCTCTTTTTTAAAAAGATTTGGGCTTAAATTGCATTTAAACTCTATATTTTCCCCCACCTTGCACTTATATGCCCTCAATTGTTTTTGACAATGCATACATATTTTAAAATTTTTACAGCTTACATTGTTATGCCCTCAATTATACAAACATGAAAATTTCCCTCTGAAAATTATATTAGCTTAATTGCACTTAAAACTATATATTTTTTCTTACTTTGCATTTATATATCCTTAATTGTTTTTGGCGGCATGTACATGTTCTAAAACTTTTAAATTGTACATTTTAATATACTCTCAGTTATGCAAAAATAAAAATGTTCCTCTAAAAATTATCATGCAACTCTCATATATCAATTTTAGAATATTCCAACTCTTAATATCTACTAAATTTACTGTTGAATTTATCAAGATCTTACTTTAAAATAGAATTGTAATACTCTTGACAATAAATTTTAATAAAAAGTTAAGGGTTTTAAAGTTCTTAAATTGGTATGTGACTGTCATGTGAGAATTTTTAGAAGGATATTCTCTTGTTTGCATATTTAAAAGTATTCAAGTGTAACTTATAAAAATTTTAGAGTATTCAAGTGTATAAGTGTTGCCAAAAACAAGTGAGAATATAAATGTGCAAAGTAGGAAAAACTATAGGGTATTTAAGTGCAATGAAGCCTTTTATATTTTCAAATTTTTAATTTCTGAATTTTAACAACATATAACTAAATTGAGGCCCTTTTCTAAATTTCATCTGCATGATACTAAACTCTAATTACTAATCTCTTGCAGTAAAATCACTCAATCAATAAAAATAAAAATAAAAAATAAAAAACCCGTCGAAAATCCCCCCCCCCCCCCCCCCCCCAATTCTCATCTCCCTCAATTATTGCTGATATGTAATCTAGAAAACTTAAATTTTGATTATTGTTCTCATGATTTATTTTGTGCGTATTTTATTGAATAAGTTTTCTCATAATCGTTGCTATAGAATGGCACACAGTGGTGAACAATCTTGATTCTTGGGTTGTTTGAAGTCCTGTGGCTTATATCTTGTTCGTGTTTGATTACTCTGTTAATTATGCGGCATTCACCTCCGTGAAGATTTTTAAAGAACACAACTTTTTAATCATGTAGATGTTTTTCGCATGCAATGCCGCAAAATTTCATAATTTATTCCTTGGTTGTGGCCAAAATTCAGAAGGGCATGCTTAAGTGACCAGCCCCTTCAAAATTTCTTTTTGTGACATGTTTCTTATAAATTTTTTTCATGATCTCCTTCACTTATTTATTGTTAAAACTTTTTTCATCTTTGTAACAAATGTCATATTAGAATTCATCTTGAGAATTCTAATTTTTGGAAGTTGACGGCTATGCTGAAATAAGCATCCGGTACCCGTTTTGATGAGATGCGTCATTCTTTTTTAGGAAAAAATTGTGGAGGTAGATGGTTCGGATCGTTTATTGAGGATCATTAATGAGAGGCCTAACAATTGGTAAAGCTAGTTAAGATGCACGTGCAATGCAGTGGTTGATCATGAGTTGAAATGCACGTTGCAATGCACAGTGGTTGAAATATCATTATTTTTTAAATGGCAAAAATGGCCAGATTGGTATCATTTTTCTCGAGGCTTTGGTGAAGTTGGTCTATTTTCTTTGTTAGTTTTTATCAGATTGGATATTTTTCCCAACTCGGCCGCCATATAAGCCTTAAATTTAGTCGGAGTTACTTGTCCGGCCATGTGTGATGCGGAGGGATTCTTTTACATAAAAACTCCCTCCATCAAATACGAGTTTTCTTCTCCTTAATCCCCTCTCCCTCCTCCTCCTCCTCTTAACCTCGCGCTCTTCCCTCATCCTCCTCCTCCTCTTCCCTCCTCCTCCCTCCTTCATCCCTCTTCCAATCCCCTCCATTCTTCTCCTCCCCCTCCTCCTCTCCTCCTCCTCCTCCTTCGCGCCCTCTCCACCTCGCACAATTCTCTGTCGCCCACCCCCCTCTCTCTCCTCACCCTCGCCTCCAAATCCCTCTTGCTCTCCCCTCCTCCTCTGTCCTTGCCACCGTCAACTCCTTCCTCGGGATCCTCCTCCTCCATTCCTCCTCCTCCTCTCACTCCACCCTCGTGGGCCGAACGGTCAACTCCTTTCCTTGATTGATGATCTGAGTATCCCGCCAAGAAATTTGCTGAAGAGGACATAGGGAAAGTTGAAGATGTTATGACTCCTGAAATTGTTTGAAGTTCTATAATGAATTATTCTTTTTTAATAGACAGAATAAATTTGACTATGACGGCACTGAATTTCTGTAGGCTGGAAGAAAGCATTTAAAAGCGGTTCAGAAGATGAAGAGGAAGAGGAGGTCGAAATTAAAACTGTCTTCTTATACCAATTATTTTGCTGTTAGTACATCATTTTTAAATGATTATTAGCTGACTATCTTCTGACTTTCTTGATTAACAGGAGGGCATTTCTTCTTCCAGCAATTTGTAAGCACGTAGTGTGTGACTAAAGCACCATATATACTGCTTATTATTTCATTACTCAAGTGTTGCAATTATTTTTTTTTCTCTGAATTTTTTTTTATGTTTAGGATCGACAAAGATGATTGATGAGCCAGACGACGAAGAGAACCTAATTTCTCGAACATTGAGAAGAAGGAAGAAAGCGACATGTATTTTTCTCGAACCATTGAGAGAGGGAGGGGAGGACGGAGGGTGGAGAGGGCCGGAAGGAGAGGAGAGGAGAGGAGGAGGGAGGAGAAGATGAGGGGATCGGGAGGAGGGGAGGAGAAGATGGGGTGGATCGGAAGAGGGATGATGTAGGAGGAGGAGAGAGAGGATGAGGAGGGAGGAGGAGGGAGGGATGAGGAGGATAAAGGAGAGGGGGAGGTTGAAGAGGAGGAGGAGGAGGGAGAGGGGCGCGGTTAGGAGCAAGAAACTGTATTGATGAGGGGTTTTATGTAAAAATCCCATCAGCACTGGTCGGAACAGTAACTCCGGCTAATTTAAAGGCCTATATGGCGCCAGAGTTAAGGAAAACTATACCAATCTGATAAAACTAAAAGAAATATTACCAACTTGCTCACCAGCCTCTAAAGAAAATATATCAATCTGGCCATTTTTGCTTTTTTTAAATTTGATTAAAAAAGAGTTTAAAAATTAAAAAAAGAAAACAAAGTTTTTTGTGGATTGATCATCAAATGGATTAATCTCTCTCTCAAAGAAAATATTTATTAATTGCTTTCCTTCAATCCAGGGACGTGGTCAGCATGGATCTATATTTGGAGCTTATAAACACATTAATATAGTACACCATATCCTAAACTTTATTAGTATCTAAAGTCTTTCAAAAAAGATGGGGTGATCATTCAATTTACAAAGACAATCTTGCATACTGAATTTTACTTGCCAATATGTTCATTTAAACTTTTTAGTTGTGTTTGACTCATATTTCATGTTAACTTTTTAGTTGATGTTTCACTCAATATTTATATTATCTAATATTCTCATCATTTTTAGCTCATTTCTCTATATCATAGAAGTAACAATCTGAAAGTATCGAAAAAATTAGTTTCGTTACGAATCTAGAACATGGAGATTCATGATATTATTTCGTCATGTCGCTCTAAATATTAAAAAAAAAATTCATTTGATGCAAGGTCCCAAATCAAATCTTACCCCAAATGACTGTGAATGAAAACATGCTATTATAATTCACTTGCCTAGAGTAATTGTATTGTTACTTAGGATGTACAGTAACTATCTGGACATATCCATGATCTCCTAAGTAATTTTTCGTTGTTTGTAAAAAGCAAACATATTAGCAGGCCTCAGTATTAAAACTTTTTGGCTCTATAAAAGACACAATAATTTGGAGTGCATAACCTTATATATCATAAAGAATATATCAATTCATTGAAGAATTTTTTTCTAATAATGATCATTTTATTACAACATATATTACTATTGCAATGTATTAAATTCAATTTTCATTATGTAAGTTATAGTGATCATTTTTAATAAATTACAAAGTGTATATATGGAACATGTGCTGTATTAAGCCAGAAGTTATGCTCCACAAATAGGGGTTACTTTACATTATAGTTTGCTTGTAGTATTGTGGCCAATGCTCATTACCTTTTCTCTTTATCTTATTATTACCCCTTTTTGATGCTTTTTTAATTCTCTTTTGCTAATCATTCAATTGGATAACGCTAGTTTATATAATACTCAGAGGTTAGGAATACTTCTCTTCTATTTAAAACAGTATGATTATGATTTTCTTAAAAAATATATCACTAGTAGCAATACGTATAACTTCATTGCAACTCAAACAATTTTGGTTGAAATCATTTAGAGTGAGGTCTTTTCTATGTTTAGAAATGGTGGGTACAATGCATTACACAGCTCTAAAAGTCAAAGCAAGAAATTTCATAAATGAAAAAATAATTTAATATTGTCACAATTAAGAACCATATTATAAAATTATGACATGGATAGTGTAGAAAGCTTATATATCTTTCAAAAAAATTCATAGTTAGTTGACAAACTACAATCATTCTAATTTAAACATAAATAATTATTAATTTATTTACTAATTTGCATAAGCGTAACTACTAGAATAAATCTGCCAGCAAAAAATAGGAATTGAGATCTGTATTAAGTAGTAGGAAATAAATAATTGTTATTAGCAGCTCACTCTTTATTATTAAATCTTTAAAAGTTCAAATAATTTAAAACATTAAGCCCACCATAATACTTAGCTCACTATGAGAAAGTAAAGTAATATATCGGTCTATGGATACGTATATAGTCAATCAATCAAACTTATTAAAATTATGATGATCACAAGTCAAACATTATATGGTTGTGTTTCACATAAATAATACATTTGTCATAAAAAAGCTACATTAATGTCAGAAATATTTTTAACCCACTTTATAGATGTGTCTAAATTTTTTGCATATACTTTAAACTTATACTTTTGGACTTTTGCTTGCCTTACTATCGATGTATATAAACTCTTTTAGCTGACTATATTTGCTTACATATTCAAATCTAGGGATCTCCATCAACAAACTCTCTCTTGCCCACTGCCCAGATTACGAGACCATTGTGATGACATTGGCTTCTCCAACAAGGCATAACCTGTTAACCTAAGAGGGGGGTGTGATTACGTCGGTTCTATACTAAATCTAATCCGATTTTATTCAATAAAATAAAAAAAAAATTAATTAAACAAGTTATCCTAGGCAAGAAAAATACAAACAATTATATAGAGCTAGATGAGCAATATGAACTATATGAATATAACCTAGCTAATGAGATATTACAAATATATGAGCATATGACTATATATAACAAACACAATGGGTTAAAATTAATTGTAGGCGTATAAAATTGCCTTATAGGTCCCTTAACACAGTCAGCACGCTGATTCGACAAATCAACGAACCATCGGGTTGAACGTATCTAAACGGCTCTGAGGAGCGTTAGTCCGCAAATACCTGAAGCCAAGTGACACGCCGAGAAGTGGCATTAACGATGGCTGACGAGGCGTAACGAACCGCACGCAAACAACGGAACTAAATAGATCCACTCGGCGCTGCGAAATCAACGCTAACGGTTCGGTGTATGTCAACGAGTGCATCAACCTGATAGAACAGATTCACTCGAACAACCGAAGCGGAATTACTACCAGTATCGGATCCAGACTGCCCATATCAGAGTCCAGTTATAGCGGACGAAGCTCTATAAACCGCCGAGAACGAACAAAAGGACAACAACGGCGCCCACACCCAGGCGAATCGGGCCGAAGTTCGAACCACCCAGGTGGCTCGGCAAAGCCGTAGCCACCAGTGGTGGCTCGGTGGCCGAAGCCACCCATGGGGTGCCGAGCCACCTATGAGTGGCCCGACCCAGATCTAGTGCCAACAGCATCAGATCTGAAGAGCCTAATAAATGACCCTTGAGTGCTATTTTTGGGAGGTGGGAACTTTTGGAGCCGAAACTCTGCGAATGAGAATGAGCTTGGAGTTTGAAGACTTGAAGACTCTGGACATCAGATCTGGTTTCTTGCGCGGAGCATCCACGCTCACAAAAGGGACGGAGTTTGAGGAGAGAAATCAGATCTGAGATCTCACGAATAATACTCGCGATTCAAAGCCTTGGCCTTTGATCCCGAGTAACTAAAGGCTATTATTTCCTTGGTGAAATCAGGACCCCCCGGCTGATTTTTCCTTATGTCGGATAAACACCGTCAAATCGTGTAGATCCGACCGTTATCTAGATTCGCGCTAGGGTCACAGGATTAAACCCGACGTTGGCAAAGCAACCCCACAAAAGCGAGTGACCGCCAAACATGCATGGGAGCTCGTGATTCGTCGAAAGGATAGTTGTAATCTTTTATTTTTTTTTTCTTTGATTCGTTGTACCGGATCTTATAAAAAAGGGAAACCGCGCATCTTTTGAATCAAAAAACAATTACTTGAGAGAACAATGACGTTCAATGAAGTAATTAACAATTTTCCCGTGTGCGAACAATCTCGGACCACCAGTGGACCACCGATCTTGCTGCGATCGGTGCGTCGCTACCGGCGGATCCCGATCCTGCGTTGAGGAGGAGGTCGAGCTATGAGTTCGACCAGCAAAATTTCAAGGAGAACAGTTCATCTCGTCCGGATCACCTCCCCGCAAGTCAAGAAGTTCTCCTCCAGCGAGAGAAAAATCCGTTGGTCATCGGAAGAAGTTCTGAGAAATTACCAACGAAGTCTCACGCCTGATGATATCAAAGTTGCATCGGGTGAAGCCTTCCCAACCTCCAACCAGGGCAGGCCTGTTCCTGCAAGTTCCTCCGTCCATAAGGGCCGAGTGACTGCTCTCAAAGAAGCCCGCGAAAGGCGCACGCCAACGCTTGCCAAGAATTTGGCAAAGGCCATGGCAGTCAACCGACGCGAATCCGTTATAACACGGATCTGTAAAACAGGAGAGGGCAATCTAGCCTCAACCACCGCGATGAACGACAGCTCCTCCAAGCCGCCAACGAACGAATGGTCCGTGTCAAACGGAATCGTTCGACGCTTGAGCGAGCGCCATTCCGCAAGCGCCCGCGAATGTCAGCGGCAAGCACGGGTCAGTCAACGAGCGCTCCGAAGAAGACTTCAAAAGGAAGTGAGTCAAAAATGCGCCACCAACCCGCCAAGTTAGGAGGCCGAAGCTGAAGCGGCGATTCAGGCTAAGCCACAATCATTGAGCGCTTCAGCAAAAGTTAACCTCGGCGAACATCACATCTTAAATTGCGATAATTCCCACGGCTACTCGGGAGATCACGCAGAATCATCCCGAAGAAAGAAGTCAGTTTTGGAGCGCTCGCCCGTCCTACTCCCGATTTAACGATGCCAAGGCGCCAGTTCAAGACGTTTCCGGCTCCAATGGAAGAAGGCCCGAACGGCTGCAAACCATGCTGGGGGCCGCCATACCCCCAACTACAAAGAGATTCAGCTCGCGCAGCTACGCGCCACCAATTTTGCGCACTTGAATGTCCAGGAGCCCGCTAAGAACTCACGCCCAAAAAGGCCATGTTTTGAGCTTCGCTGACTTTTGAAAACCAAAGAGGCAGTATCTTTCCTCAGAAGGAACACATATTATCGTCTGATGACGATACGTTATCCTGAGATAGTCGTGCTCACAATGATAGATTACTCGGATTCTTCAAGCGCACGGTAAGTTTATTCTGCTGGGGTACGGTTTAAACTTAGGCAAATAAAGCAGTCCCTGGAACAGGAAACCTCATGCCCCTGTTCCAAACTTCATATCGCGGCACAGTATTGTCTAGGATTTAACTGTATTAAGTGCGGTCCGGCAAAGAGGTAGATTCCGGTGCCTTCGAAAGGCCGTCTAGACTAATGTAAAGAAACGCTCTGCAAACAAGGCCTAGGTGGCGGTTTTCGACGAACGAAGAAGGATAGTCGAAGATGGGAGAATTTCTGAGGGTCACCACAAGGTATGACCAGCAAAAGACATCGAACGCGGGATTAATCCCGATCAAAATTCCGGTTACACTGGGTATTTGAACGGACCGTCTGCAGTCTGGAGCCATTACTGACGAGGACACTTATATGGTATGGGTCTTCAGGGCAAGACTTACCTTTCCAGAAGATTGAATTGAAATCTGATGCTGCCGGCTCCACCGGTTGCATCGATAATTACAGGCATCAACGAGGGACAGCCCGCGAGGCACTGTATGATAAGTGCAGAACAAGTGGCCAACCGATGCCTCGAAGAAGCCTATGGCAAACAGAATGGAGAGCTTTCAGGTCGAAATATGCAGATGGCACATGGCAGAACATGTAGCAGAAATGCCATGACCAGCAATGCCAAAACATTGGGACGTAACTGAAGCGCAGCCAAGTCGTCGCTAACCAGGTTAATCTGCGAAGCATGGAGGACACAAATGCGAATGAGAGCATAATGCAAATAATCCTCCCGTCACGATGATGCATGTCGAAATGTGGATATACGAGAATGGCTAGCGAAAAACACAGCTGCTGAAACTTGAAGATCAAGAAACTCGAGAGCAAAATCAACACATGATTTTCGCCTCAAGAGACGAAAGAAAACAGGCATTCACTGGCCATCCATTATAATCAAATCGGCTTCGTATCGAGCTTCTTCTCCGTTGTCCGTGCCGATGGGGCCGATGATTCAGGGTATCGGGATTCGTTAGCATAAAGGAGAGAATGCAGTGAAATATTCGTCGTAATCCGCTTTGAATGGTTGCTTAAATCGCGCCACGTCCTAGACCTTATTAATCAGTGTCGGGACATTACTTTAAACACTGATGGAGAGTGGAGGGGATTATAACGGTTAACTGATGGATCCAAAGGTCGCCCCAATAGTAAGTTATATAAAGTTTCGGCATGCGATCACATAACATGTGACTTCCGTTTCAAAATCCGCATTTGACACTTTATCCCCGATCTTAACCTTAAGGGTCTTTGGACCGCGCGCAGTGTTACAATCCATAGATAAATAGTGCCTGTTGACGCTACTTGCGCTAACTGGAATTGCCTTAGATTAATACATCAAGCGAAGCGCATAATATCAACAGCAGAACCCGGATCCACTTGGATTCGGGGTTGACTTTTGCCTGGAGCCAATGTACCGCGATTTGAATATATAGCTGGTCGTATCGTCGGTTCGAATTCTTTCGTCTGGCAATATCTTCTTTAGTGAAAGTAAGCAGGGAAGGTTCTTAGTCGCTATAGTTGCAATGTGACTCAGCGGTTCTGGCCCTTTCAGCCCACCACCGTTTTGATTTTAAGTCATGAACACCTCTGAATTGCCGAAAAGCTCTTGCAAGGCCTGCCCTGGTTTTCCTTGGACAACCGGTAGCAACTCATAGCAGCTTTATTCCGTGCTGGCAATGTTGGTTAATTGGCCTATTTATCGAAGGCTTGTCAAAGTTTTCCGAGCTTTCCGAAGTTTGTCTTCTTCCAAATCGGCCGACTGAAACAGAGAACTGCTTCGGGATTTTCTGGGAACCTGCCTGGGGAATCTTCTCTTTCGTTTATTCACTGGGCTATTAATCGAGCTTTTGCGCCCGGTGTAGACTCGTAATCACGCCCCAATCTCCGTAAGAGTTTTGGGCTGGGTCGCCCGTTTTATTCATCCCCTGCCTGGCACTAGGCAGGCGGATATTGTAGTGAATACCATTTCCGCTTCTTGAGTGACAAAGACTTCTTGTTCCTCTTCGGAGAGCGGGAAGGTAGGAGCTTGCATCGGGCCATCCTCACTGCGAAGATTGCGGGAACGTAGCATTAGCAGGGACTTGCCTTTGCCCTTTCCTTTGTCGGGAGGAAGGTCGGCCCACGGGTTCGTCGTTCAATTAAGATCGGGATGAACACAGAGGATTTCGGGCCGGGTTTGGGGCTGTGTGTGGCACAAGTCTTTTGGCGGGCCTGTCCATGGTGGGTCTATCCCGTTCACTGTCTTCATCCGCTACTTTGGTGACTCGCGGGTCTGGTTTGAACGGCATGTTTGTGGGTAGCGCGATCCAAAGCAGATTGACACACTGCATTTGCGTCCAGACATTCTTGGACCGGCTTCGGGTTATGACGCCATACATCGAATTAAGCGCCTGGATCTTTGTCCTTGAGGTGGTAGCAGTACTTGGTAGGGTGATTGAGCCCGCTCTATGGTATGGCGCAATACTTCACGGATCCGTCCTTTTGCTAGCACCCTTCTGTGATCCCACGATCGCTGCACAGCTGGACTTTTGGTTTATTCTCGAACAGATACTGTAAAGATGCCGGGGAAACTTCGGTCCATCCTTTGAAGGAGTACACCTTGGGAAATCTGGCTCTGAAGATTTCTGCTTCGAGGCCGTTGCTTGCGCAATTGACCCCCGAGGTTGTGTTTGTGGTGCTTGTTGCTCGCTGCTGTTGCTGAGTTGTCTAATTGAAAGGTTTGAGAGTTAGGCACAACTGCATTAGCATGTGGCCATTACCTTTCCCTCGTGGGCTGGACGAAATTGCTGTGGATCGTTCATCCGCCGCCGTGTTGGCCTCTTTCCCCGCCTTCTCCTTCCTGAGGAGTATCGCTTCGGCTTGCGTCTCAGCTCGGATCTTCAAGATCCTTCCCATGTCTTGGACGGTGCTGTCCCCGATTGCTCCAAACGTCCAACACGAGGTTGTTGTGGCAAGTCGTGGAACGAATGAATTCTCGGTGATCCGGTCCGACGAGTTTCATCTCGGGCCTTGTTCCGTGAATCTCATTGGTCAAAGGTGTCAACCCAACTCCCCGTCTTCAGGCTTCTCGTCAAGCAAGGACCCGATGATAATGCTCTGTGTCGTCGTCGAAGTAAATTAGCGAGGAAGATTGGTCTCCATGTCATCCCAGCTATTCACGCTCCCTGGCTTGTAGGCGACGATGACCGAATCGAAGGCGGCTCCACGAAGAGTGCCAACGGAAGGATCCGCACCATCAAAAGGCTCATATCTAGAGATAACCCCCAGGTGGCGATTTGGAAATAATCAAATGCTGAGTGGTGAACCATTCCCATTAAACGGCGTGTATTCAATTAGGTTGAACTCACCGGATAGGGATCGATTCCCACTCTCATGGTATCGGACAGTGAATGCCTGTTTTCTTTCGTCTCTTGAGGCGAAAATCATGTGTTGATTTTGCTCTCGAGTTCTTGATCTCAAGTTTCAGCACTGTGTTTTTCGCTAGCATTCTCGTTACCACCCGCTGGCATTTGACGGGAGGATTATTTGCATTATGCTCTCATTCGCCATTTGTGTCCTCCATGCTTCCAGATTAACCTGGTTAGGCGACGACTTGGCTGGCGCCTTGCTAGTTCGTCCCAATGTTTTGGGATTTGCTGTCAATGGCATTTCTCTCATTTCTGGCCATGGCCATCTGTATTTCGAACCTGAAAAGCTCTTCTCTGTTTGGCAAGGCTTCTTCGAGCATCGCGTTGGCCACTTGTTCTGCACTTATCTACAGTGCCTCGCGGCTGTCCCTCGTTGATAGCACTGTAATTATCTGATGCCAACCGTGGAGCCGGCAGCATCAGATTTCTTCATCTTCTGGAAAGGTAAGTCTTGCCGAAACCCACCAATAAGTTCCTCGTGTAATGGGCTCCAGACTGCAGACGAGCTTAAATACCAGTAGTTATACGGAATTGACTCGGGATTAAGTCCCGGTCGATGTCTTTGCTGGTCATATTGTGGTGACCCTCGGAAATTCTCCATCTTTCGATCTATCCTTCTTTCTTGCGTCGAAAACGCCTAGGCCCGTTGTCCTTGGCCGTTTCATTTACTTACTAGAGCCTTTCGAAGAGAACCGGGAGAACTCTTTGGGGACCGCTTAATAACAGTTGAAATGCCAGACAATACTCCGCGATATGAAGTTTGGAACAGGGGCATGAGTTTCCTGTTCTCGGGGACGTCTTTTTTCCTAGTTTTAACTCGTACCCCAGCATGATAGTACAACTTCCGTCGCTTGAAGATCGCGAGTAATCTATCATGTGTGAGCACGACTTCTCAGGTATTAACGTTATCGTCATAGACGATAAGTTGTGTTCTTCTGAGGAGAGAACTGGCCTTCTTTGGGTTTTCAAAAGTCAGTCGAGCCTAAACATGCCTTTTTGGCGTGAGTTCTTAGCGGGCTCACTGGACTTCAATGGCGCAAAATTGGTGGCGCGTAGCTGCCCTGAATCTCTTTGTAGTTGGGGGATGGCGCCCCCAGCATGGTTGAGCCGTTCGGGCCTTCTTCCATTGGAACCAAACGTTCTTGAACTGGCGCCTTGCATCGTTAAATCCCGGGAAGTAGGCGCGAGGCGCTCCAAAACTGACTTCTTTCTTCGGGAATGATTCTAGCGTGATCCCCGAGTAGCCGTGGGAATTATCGGCAATTTAGAATGTGATTCGGCCGAGGTTGAACTTTTGCTGAAGCCTCAATGATTGTGCCTTAGCCTGAAATCGCCGCTTCAGACTTCGGCCTCCAACTTGGCGGGTTGGTGGCGGCATTTTTGACCACTCCTTTTGCAAGTCTTCCTTCGGGCGCTCTTGGACTTGACCCGTGCTTGGCCGCTGACATTCGCGCGGCGCTTGCGAATGGCGCTGCGCTCAAGCGTCGAACGATTCCGTTTGACACGGACCCATTCGTTCGTTGCGGCTTGGAGGAGCTGTCGTTCATCTGCGGTGGTTGAGGCTAGTTGCTCTCCTGTTCTTCCAGATCCGTGTTATAACGGATTCGTCGCGTTGATGCCATGGCCTTTGGCCAAATTCTTTGGCAAGCGTTGCGTGCGCCTTTGCGGGCTTCTTTGAGAGAGTCACTCGGCCCTGAGTGACGAGGAATTGGCAGGAATCAGGCCTGCCCTGGGTGGAGGTTGCGGAGCTTCACCCGATGCAACTTTGATATCAATCAGGGTGAGATCTTCGTTGGTAAATTCTCAGCTTCTTCCATACCAACGGATTTTTCTCCTGAGGAGAACTTCTTGGACTTGCGGGGGAGGTGGATCCGGACGAGTATGAATGTTTCCTTGAATTTTGCTGGTCGAACTCATACTCGACCTCCTCCCAACCCAGGATCGGGATCCGCCGGCTAGCGACGCACGATCGGCAGCAAGATCGGTGGCTCCACTGGTGGTCCGAGATTGTTCGCACCACCGGGGGAAAAATTGTTATTCTTCAATTGAACGTTCATTGTTCTCCTCAAGTAATTGTTTTTTGATTACCAAAAGAGTCCGGTTTTTTCCCCTTTTTTTTTATAAGATCCGGTTACAACGAATCAAAGAAAAAAAAAATAAAAAGATTACAACTATCCTTTCGAACGAATCACGAGCTCCCTGTTTTGCGGTCACTCGCTTTTGTGGGGGTTGCTTTGCCAACGTCGGGTTTAATCCTGTGACCACTAGCCGATCTAGATCGCGGTCGGATCTACACGAATTTGACGGGTGTTGATCTCACATAAGGAAATAATCAGCCGGGGGGTCTGATTTCACCAAGGAAATAATAGCCTTTAGTTCTCGGGATCAAAGGCCAAGCTTTGAATCCGAGTATTACTTCGTGTAGATCTCAGAATCTGATTTCGTCTTCCTCAAACTCCGTCGCTTTTGTGACGTGGATGCTCGCCAAGAAACCAGATCTGATGTCCAGAGTCTTCAAGTCTTCAAAACTCCAAGCTCATTCTCAAATTCGGCAGAGTTTCGGCTCCCCAAAAGTTCCCAACCGTCCCAAATAGCACTCAAGGGTCCTATTTATAGGCTCTCAGATCTGATGCTTTGGCACAGAATCTGGGTCGGCCACTCATAGGTGGCTCGGCCACCCCATGGGTGCTCGGCCACCCGAGCCACCATGGTGGCTCGGCTTTGGCCGAGCCAGCCTGGGTGGTTCGACTTCGGCCGATCGCCTGGGTGTGGCGCGCGTTGTGGCCTTTTGTTCGGTTCTCGCGTATTAATAGAGCTTCGTCCGCTGATAACTGGACTCTGATATGGCAGTCTGGATCCGATACTGGTAGTGAATTCCCGCTTCGGTTGTCTCGAGTTCGAATCTGTTCGTACAGGTTGATAGACTCGTTGACATACACCGAAACCGTTAGGCGTTGATTCTCGCACGCGAGTGGATCTATATTACCGTTGTTTGCGTGCGGTTCGTTAGCCTCGTCAGCCGTCGTTATGCCACTTCTCGGCGTGTCACTTGGCTCGGTATTGCGGACTTAACGCTCCCAGGCGTTTAGATACGTTCAACCCGATGGTTTCGTTGAGTTGTCGAATCAGCCGTGCTGAGCTGTGTTAAGGGACCTATAAGCAATTTTATACCGCCTACAATTAATTGTTAACCCTTGGTGTTGTTATATATTCATTGCTCATATATTTGTAATATCTCATTAGCTAGTTATATTCATTATATATTGCTTCATCCTAGCTCATATATAATTGGTTTGTATTTTATTCTTGCCTAGGATAATTGTTAATTAATTTTAATTGAATAAAATCGGATTAGATTAGTATTAGAAACCGACGTTATCACACCCCCGCCCCCTCTTAGGGTTAACAGGTTATGGCCTTGTTGGAGGAAGCCATGTCATCCAATGCGTCCGTAATCTTGGGCAGGGCAAGAGAGAGTTTGTTGATGGAGATCCCTAGATTTGAATATGTAAGCAAATATAGTCAGCTAAAAGAGTTTATATACATCGATAGTAAGGCAAGCAAAAGTCCAAAAGTATAAGTTTAAAGTATATGCAAAAAATTTAGACACATCTATAAAGTGGGTTAAAAATATTTCTGACATTAATGTAGCTTTTTTATGACAAATGTATTATTTATGTGAAACACAACCATATAATGTTTGACTTGTGATCATCATAATTTTAATAAGTTTGATTGATTGACTATATACGTATCCATAGACCGATATATTACTTTACTTTCTCATAGTGAGCTAAGTATTATGGTGGGCTTAATGTTTTAAATTATTTGAACTTTTAAAGATTTAATAATAAAGAGTGAGCTGCTAATAACAATTATTTATTTCCTACTACTTAATACAGATCTCAATTCCTATTTTTTGCTGGCAGATTTATTCTAGTAGTTACGCTTATGCAAATTAGTAAATAAATTAATAATTATTTATGTTTAAATTAGAATGATTGTAGTTTGTCAACTAACTATGAATTTTTTTGAAAGATATATAAGCTTTCTACACTATCCATGTCATAATTTTATAATATGGTTCTTAATTGTGACAATATTAAATTATTTTTTCATTTATGAAATTTCTTGCTTTGACTTTTAGAGCTGTGTAATGCATTGTACCCACCATTTCTAAACATAGAAAAGACCTCACTCTAAATGATTTCAACCAAAATTGTTTGAGTTGCAATGAAGTTATACGTATTGCTACTAGTGATATATTTTTTAAGAAAATCATAATCATACTGTTTTAAATAGAAGAGAAGTATTCCTAACCTCTGAGTATTATATAAACTAGCGTTATCCAATTGAATGATTAGCAAAAGAGAATTAAAAAAGCATCAAAAAGGGGTAATAATAAGATAAAGAGAAAAGGTAATGAGCATTGGCCACAATACTACAAGCAAACTATAATGTAAAGTAACCCCTATTTGTGGAGCATAA